ACCCCTAAACCCTAAACCCAGTGTGCACCTGTCCTGCCACCTTCCAGCTTAGGCCGGAGAGCTGCGGCCCCAGAATTCAGAGCAGCACCCCTGGTAGCCTGGGTTGCTCCTAAAGGCCTTGAAGTTAACATAGTATGGGTCTACAGGGTTTAGGGTTTAGGGATGAAGTTACAGGGTTTAGGGTATAGGGTTTAGGGTCTAAGTTACCATACTGTGGGTACATAATGAATCATAGGGTTTCCTTATCATAGTAACTTACTTTCACTTCCTTAACAGCAACCAAGTAGCAAGCGCGCGATGGCCAAACCAAGTAAAGGATCCGGCACTTACAGCCTCAGGTCTGACTGTTCTCAAGCTTGGGACCTCTAGGGGCCTAGGAATTTAGGGTTTTTCCAATTCTAAAGGGTTTATGAGCTGGGATTTATCGGGAGAGGGATTATTTGTGGGAGTCCTTTTTTGGGAAAGTCCCAGTTCTAGCTGCATGGTGCTGGGCAAGTGCAAGCTTACAGCTTCATCAGCGCCCCAGCATTGAAAAGCCTTCGACGCAAGGCAAGGGGCGGCTGGCAGCGCGATCAAGTCAGATAGGAGAGGATGCGAAAAGAATGCCACACATCCTGGATTGCTGCTAAGGAACTGAAGTTAAATTACCATCATAAGGAAACCCTATTACTTCCTGTATGCCCATATTACAGCAACTTAAATCAATTTCCTTATTAAGAGCAACCCAGCATCGCTCACCATGTATCTGCAGGGTGATCAGCTCCATGCCCTCCTCAGAAAGGATGGAGAAGGATAGAACAAGTCGGAAAATGAAGCTCGTGTCAGTGATCAGGGTTTAGGGTTTAGGCTAGGATTTGTGGTTTAGGGTTTCAGGATTTAGGGCTTAGGTCAGCATCCTTCATGAAGGGGGCGTCAATGTTATCATATGCCACCTGCCTGAAATTTCTGCAGTTCCATTGGTATCAAGCACGTACCACTACAAGCATAAAAACCAATAAGAGAATGGCCAAATGACAATAAAGTCACACATAAATACTAACCTTGCCCTGGTTGTGTCTCCACAGCTGATGTTTACAAAATGTCGCGCAACAGCGACCTGTTGATTGCTTGCCGCATTCTAAAGAAATGCTGCACAAAAGTGTGTTGCAGCCGGGCAGCGGTTTTCAAAGAGACATCGTACAGTTGAATCTTGTCCGGTAAGTGGCTTTGTGCAGACCGCAGCTTTTGAGCATGCTCTTCTGAGAGGCTGTAGGTCTTGGGCTTCAAATCTTGCACCGAGACTGCTTCCACAGCTTCCTTAGAACAAGCCGAGCAACTCAGTTCCATCTCTCACGAGGAACACAAGAGCCACGTGAAGGACATGAATCTAGGGACTTTGGGAGGGACCCCTAAGATGGACCCTTAATCTCAATACCATATATAACCCTTATATA